ACCTTCCCTGTATGGGAGAGGTGCCTCCATCACACACTGCCCACCCTTGCTGCTGGGAGGGTGTTGCCCTGCCCAGGCATTGTGCTTTTGGGGGGAGAGGGGCTGCTCACCTGGCTGGGGGGCAGCAGGCAGCTCCATCTCGGGGCCCTGCTGGGAGGCCTGCAGCAGGATCTCCCGCACCTGCAGACAGACACACAGATGTCAGGATCCCCCAAAGCACTGGCCAACCCACCCCTGCCCTCGCCTCCCCGTGCCACAGCTCTCCCCAGGACACAGAGCGGCACACACATCCTTGCAGGAGCATCTCCTGGAACTCTGTCCCATCTGTGCTACACCCCCTGCAGAAACGGTCCCAGAGAGTTTGTCCCGCTGCACCACGCACCTTCTGGCTCCGAGTCAGGTCCAGGGGCGTGTGGCAGCGGCGCTGCCTGTGCCTGGGCTGCCCGTGCCCCTGCGTGGGGGGGCTGGGGTTGGTACTGTGCTCCACGGCCGGGGCCAGCTCTCCCAGCTCCATGGCCAGCTCCTGCTCCTCGGGGTCAGCGTCCGTGTCGCTGCTGGCCTCCGACGAGGATGGGCTTGTGGGCTCATCGTTCTCACACAGCACATCTGCCCCTGTCAGCGAAGGGTGGACTGAGCCCCCAAAAGGGAAGGTCGGCCCAGGGGTCTGCCCTGTGCCTGGGCACCCATCAGCGCAGGCAGCTGGGGCTGCAGGGTGGGGAAGGGAGAGGAGGGAGGGCAGTGCCTTACCAGCTTTGAGGAGCAGTTTGGTCAGGGTTGGCGAGCCCAGGCCAGCAGCCAGGTGCAAGGGGGTATTCCTGGCAAAGGTCCGGCTGTTGACATCTGCTCCCAGCTATGAGGAAAGGTGCAAGGCCATGAGGATAGGCTGCCTGGGTGCTGCCCCCTCACCCCTGTCACCCCAAGACCCCAAGGGACCCCTCCCTCACTTCTGTCAGGGCCCTGTAGGAGGTTGCCACCTCATCGCCATCCCACAGCCACCAACCCACCATCCTGCCCCATACCTTCTTCACCAGGTGAGTGGCCATGTTCAGGTTCTCCATCTCCACAGCCAGGTGCAGTGGGGTCCTCCCACCCTGCCGCTCCACTGCGTTCACATCCGCTCCCTTCCTGACCACCAGGTCCAGGCAGGAAACTCTTTGCCTTCACGGCCAAGTGCACAGGCAGGAGGCCTGCAACAAGGGGAGAGGCTCAGCAGTCCTCTGGCAGAGCCCACAACAGCACCGCCGGCTTCCTGCCCATCATATCCCATCCCCACTCACCATGGAAGTTGGGCAGGTGGAGCAGGTAAGGGGCAGCTGAGCCCAGGTGGGCCAACAGTGTCCTCAGCATCTCTTCATCGCCAGCCTGGAGTGCCAGGTGCAGCAGGGAATTGCCATAGCGGTCCAGCAACGTGGGGTCGGCGCGGGCTTGCAGCAGGAGCTGGACCACCTGGGGCTGCTTGGTGATGACTGCCAGATGCAGTGGTGTCTGTGGGACAGCAGCACCCCCATAGCAGTGGTCAAAAGAGGAGCCGCGTCCTGCAGCACCCTCCTTGCCAGTGTGGCTGCACCGTGCTCAGCCCTGCAGCCTCCCCTCAGTGGGAGCAGCAATGGGAGCTCCTGGGAGCAGCAGTGGGAGCTCCCAAGGTTGGGAAATGGGAGGGAGCCCAGGGTAGAGGAGAACCGGCTGCTCAGGGAAACAGGTACCTGCTGCAGGTTGTTGGAGATGTTGATGATCTGCTGGCTGGGGATGCTAACAATGACCTCAATCAGCTGCTTGATCACAGCCGTCTGCTCATGGATAATGGCAAGGTGCAAAGGCCTGCGGAGAGAGCGGAATGGCCCCTGGCTCAGCTCCGCACTTCTCCAGGTCCTCCCTGCCACCTCCCACCTCCCAGAGCCCCCATAATGGCTCTGATGGCCAACAAGGCTCCCACACTCTCCCCACAAAGCCCTCGTGTGCTCACGTGTCTCCGTTCTCATCCTGCGATGCAGCCAGATGCCTCTGGACTGCCAGCAGCATACGGGGGTCGGCGGTGACCGAGTAGTCCAGCAGGGCATGGGCATTGCGACGCCATGGCCAGCATCCACAGCTGGCAGAGATGGGCTGGGGGACAAAGCAGGATGTCACCTCCAGGAGCAGCACCCCCATCCACCCTCCTGCATTCCCCCCAGCTGCAGAGGAGAACGGCACCCGGCCCCAAAATGTCCCTGACCTGTGCCACCTCTCCCGAGCGATGTCCCCCACCCTTGCTCCAGCCCAGCCCCCTCCTACCATGCTTCTGCAGCTCCTTGCAGTACGTGCTCTCCGCAGGTGCTCTCCCAGGCCCCTCCGCCTCAGGGCCCTTCATCTGCACGCCCCCCTGGTAGCCCCCCACAGGGTGGGGGCCGGGCGAGTAGATGCTGTTGTAGGCCAGCCCAGGAGAGTAGGGGAAGCTGAGGTTCCCACCTGCGTAGCAAGGAGGAGGATGTGTGAGGCCGGAGGGCAGCAGGGAGCCCCCAGGGCTGGACCATGGCTGCCCAAGCAGGTAGGGGAAAGAGAAGTCCCCACTCACCTCCTCCAGAGCCGAAGGCCACAGG